ATGATGATGGTTGTTGGAGAAGGAGGGAGGCGAGGAGGAACGGAGTGAGCAGGAGTTGAGAATTGAGTAGCCAGGAGGAGGGGAGGAGAGGAGAAGAAGGAGGAGGGAGAAGATGGAGGAGGACGAGAGATGTTTCTCTCACAGTAGGAACGGCACTTGGTGACCAGACATGGGCAGTCTCAAAGTGAGGTTTCCATACAGAAGTCTCGATCAAGGAATCTGAAGCCAGATCAGCAGAAGCTCAACTGCCTCCCTCCAACCCCATTCCTCCCGCCCTTCCTCCTCTTCATCAGCAACCTCCCCCCTGCTCCTTCCATCGTCATTCCACCCTTCCCCTCCCTCTGCCTGTCTCCTTCCCTCTCGCCCTTCAACCTGCTCCCGATCCTCATGCTCACTGCCCCCTCCCCCCTCCTCACCATTGTTCGCTCCTCTCCTTCGACCCCTCGGAGGGCCGTTGAGCACGTGCACCCGCACCTTCCACGCCATCAGTCCCCAGCTGTTGGAGGAGGAGGAGAGCAGAATCTGCATGCTCATAGCAGCTGCCCGTTCCTCACCTCTCCCTCCTTGTTCGCCGTCACGATCTTAAGGTCCCCGACAGCTTTCTGATCGATGGCCAACGCAGAAGCTCCTCCTGCATGTCCCGTTGGATGAGACGCCTAAGGCAACATGTGAGATTCGAGTCAAGTGGGAGGAGGAGGTTAAGGGCGGGGGGTTGGGAGGGAACTGAATGGGGTAGACAAGATAGGAGATGAGGGAGGAAAGAGGAGTGGAGTAGAGTGGAGTGGAGGGAGAGGAAGACGGAGGAAGGAGGACCAGGATCATCCCCGAGGAGTTGAAGAGGTGGAGGTTTCCCGCTGCATCAGCCGCGATCCCAAACTTCCCTGATGACGAAATACTCTACCACACCCAGATGAGATCGTGGAGGAGGACAACCAAGTCAGGAAGCTGCCTGAGAAGGGAGGAAACCGATGGCCACGATGTTGGAACGAGCTGTGTCAAATGTTCATTTCCCCATCGTGAGCTTGTCCTGGCTGATCTCAAAGTGTTTCTCTTTCTCCTCTGGTTTCATCCCTGCTAGCCCCTGCACTTGCCTGCTCGTTTCCTCCTATCCAGAATTGACTTATCTCCCTCCCCCCTCACTTTCTTCTCTGTTCTTCTGATCTCGTTGTCCTCTCCACTCTCCCTCTCCTCCCCACCCTCTCCCTTTCTCCCTCCTATCTCTGTGTCCTAAACCCTAACCCCTTATTCGTCCTCTTCCTTGTTCTCTCATCCTCTTCTCTCCTCTACCCTCTCTTCCTCTCCTATCCTTTCCTC